AAAGATTGCTGTACACCAGTGGAACCCATCCAACTTGAAGGAGCTGGAGCAGTTTTACCTTGAAGAATGGGCAAAAATCCCAGTGGCTAGATGTGCCAAGCTTTATAGACATACCCCAAGATACTTGCAGCTGTAATTGCTGCCAAAGGTGGCTCTACAAAGTATTGACTTTGAGGGGGTGAATAGTTATGCAGGCTCAAGTTTTCTGTTTTTTTGTCTTATTTCTTGTTTGTTTCACCCCCAAAAATATTTTGCATCTTCAAAGTGGTAGGCATGTTGTGTAAATCAAATGATACAACCCCCCCCAAAATCCATTTTTTCCAGGTTGTAAGGCAACAAAATAGGAAAAATGTAAAGGGGGGTGAATACTTTCGCAAGCCACTGTACATAGTCATTTATCAATGTAAATATTTTTAGGATACTCATACTTTTTCATACTATAGAAACATTACTTAACAACATTTATCACACTAACAGCCAGGGAATGCACAAAGTAAACACTTGCAATAAATCAAATCATAGACTAACAAGTAACCGTGTGGTATTACAACAATACATATCAAAAATGTGTCAGGTCTTGATTTAAACGCCCTCTTCTATTTTCTATGGACAACAGGTCATGATGAAACCCTTTCTTTAAAGAGAGAATATTAAGTATGTGCATTATTCAAGGAGTGTGAATCCAAAGGAAGCCGTGGCCAATCACATTAGCTCATCTCATAAACACCAAGGACAAGGAAGATGCCCCAGAGTTCCCATAGGAGAGTTACCAATTACTCTAGCTCTCTGGCTGATGTGTTGACGTGAGTGAGTGAGTGCGTAAGTGCGTGCATGTATGCACGTTTGTAACTGTGAAGTTAGAAATCCAACCAAAAATGAAAGAAAAAAGTTTGAAATCCCCAGATGGTCAGAACTGATTTTATTTGTTCCTATAAACCTTCTTAGATAACATTTTCAACATATAACTTGGACGAAACAATACTTAATATTACCTCTGAGAGACCCTGTGTATGACTCACATCTACTCATATCCTCCAAGTGGCTGTGACCAGTCCACACTGAGGTAGTGGATATTACAGTTTGTGACTGCAGGTGTTCCAGAGAGAGAGTTCACCTGAGGACAGTGACACTCCTATCTGATCCATATCCCTTCTTTTTCCCCCCGCTCATGCCTGCTACGCTAAATCACAGTAGATCCATTTCATAGCAACAGCTTGACTTTTGAGCTACAGTTTCACTGTTTTGAATTGAATTGAACCACTGTGAGGAGGAATACACAAACCTTCTTAGTATTCAGAGTGAGATAACACAACATTTGTGATATTGATATGTTTTTATACTCGACAAGTGCACTCCAGTCCACAGGAGGTTGGTGAGGGCAGGATGGCTCATAATAATGGCTGGAATGGAGTGAGTGGAATGGTATCAAATACATGGAAACCATGTTTTTGATGTGTTTGATACTAATCCATTAGTTCCGTTCCAGCCATTACTATGAGCCCATCCTCCCCAATTAATGTGCCACCAGCCACCTGTGCTCCAGTCCCTCTTCACCAGACCATGTTTTATTTATACCGCTTTTCAAAGACCTATAACCCATCATCTCAACAATGAATGCACCAGAGGAACCCTGTGATGATGAATCTATCTGTGAAGTAAAATGAACTATCTTCCTTAGTGATAAGTCAACTGCTGTAATTCAAAGGTCTTGGCAAAGAACATGTAAATTGGTGAACTAAATCAGTAACAAAGATATGTGGCATCATTATGATGAAAATAGCAATGGAAGGATGCAAAGATATCAGAGAAAGAGATACATTAATCACAGAGCCAAAACAAAAAGCTAATCTTCAAAGTATGAATAGATTTAAATATCTTTGTCCTCACCCTACCAAGGGGGAAATATCCAACAAAGATGTTTCCATTGGGGAATGCACTGTGATTGTAGCTTCTGTAGCTGTGATGTCTTTGTGAATACACATGCAGGGTTCAGTGTTTGAACTTTCAAGCCAGTTGAAGACATTCTAGTCGTAATAAGCTCTCACTGAGAGGAGGTATTATAGATCCTCTACCAAAATGTAAAATGTTTGTAAAGCCACGGTTGAACTCTGTGTGACTGCTCCACTAACACTGACTTATTTAGAAAATGTGTTTGCCTGCTGTATTGTTTTGTCTGCGTTTGTTGTGTTTGTCTGTGTTAGTTTACACTTTGTAGCTTAGTATTGGGGACTATAGATTTGATACAGACAGACCAGTTCCAAACTTAGTTCCAATCTCATTGCTGGTACTTTTGTAGCATCGGATGCGTCTGTTTGAGAAATGTCTAATGTCCTATGGATAATTTTTCTCCTCATAACCAGGATGTAGTTGTCTCTGCACTGCACTCAGACTATGATGGTACACTACAATGCCATTTTACCCTCTCAACAGACAAAAGCACAGCATGCGGTTAACCTCTTTGTGGACAGAAAAACCATGAGACTGTGGTAACCTTTGATTCTCTAGACCTCTCCACCCACCCTGCTGATAGGCTATTCTGCGGTAGGAGGAACAGCTCACACTTTCCTGTTCAGCGAGACTCGCAACAAAGGCTCACATTATTGAAACTGGCAGCAACCTTTTCTGTGGTTTCACAAAGAAACTATCCGCTCCTACAGTGGCATATTGGGGAGTAGCTGGGCAGTTGTATGGGCTCCCTGTGTGAAGCTTGAGAATCACAATCCACTGACTGACAGAACTGAAGAAGGCAGAAGAATAGGACCCCTGTGCATAATTTAACTGAGGAGAGAAATGCATTACAACATTGTTTTATATTACAATGCTGGGGAGGAGCTTTTGGAGGGAATATTTGTGTTGTAGCTAGCATTTATATACTGTGTTATGTTTTACCTTATAGACAAAGAAGTACCTGGACAATATTTAGTAGCAATTTTTGTCCTTCGGTCTTCACAAAACCAGGACCATTACTGAGAGAATCCTACCCAACCTCCTCCTAGACCTACAGGGAAAAATATGTTTGTATCCAAGGTGTTCACGACAACAGGAGTGCTGTGATTGTGTGTGCAGTGGTGTGACATAAATGACAGGAAGGACTGTCAAGCAGCATGCAAACAGAAACACTCAAGAGGCCCTGCGGCCTCTCCTCCAATTAACAGAGCTCTTGGCCTGAGGAGCATTGCATGCTGGGGTGTGCTCTTTGTTTGATAGTGGGATTGAGATCCCATCTTTCCAGAAATCATGACAGAATGACAGTTCACCTCAGCCGACTGAAACCTCATGTTTTAAAACGGGCTGATCAGTACTGTCTGAGTGTGTCTCTGAGGACATAACTGGTTGTGGAGAGAGTCAATGAGACACACACACTCGCACGTAAACACACACACCCCCACAACAAAGATAGCACACAACACACACGACACAGTAAACACAGGTATCCGATCACTCATTTCATTGAAATTAGGAGCACATTTATTCTGGCTATCAACACACTATTCCCTAAGGAATTCCTGTTGTTGTGATGCCTGTATGTGCATATCATATCGCTCTGCTTTGGATTGATGCCAGTTCACTAATGGATTGCACTGATCGAGTCATCATGTCAAGGGTTACTTGATAATATTGAACGTAGGATATGTATGGATTTGGCAAGGATTTTGTTTGGCCCATCATTCAGACTGGCATTCCTGGCACCTTTATTTCATATTAAGACATGAATTGAAATGTATTCTACACCATTGATCTAATAGCATACTGTCTGTTGTAATAGTGCAATAACAAAGATATGATATTATATATAATGTTTTATCCACCACTGTGAAACAGAGAGACAGCTGACGGAAATGGTTTGGCATGAACAGTCTTGATCCTCTCAGGGCAGACATTAAAGGGTATGAAGCACTACTAGGTAATCATGTGAAATTAAACAGCTGTCCACAAACTAAATCAGTGATTAAGACAATAGGAAAGCAAAAGGGTTATTTCCCTGATGTCACTTAATTGACAGACAATAGAGAGTGACACTGGTGGTGTGTAAAGTAAACTGAGTGACAGACCATGTCAGAGAGGGGGTACTGGTGACAGCTTGCTCTGCACAGTCCAACAACATCTCCTCCTGTGGCTGACAAAGACCCCAATTAACCCCCACGGCAGCCACTCTATACACACGCTCAAAGAGAGCACACACACACACACACACACACACTTGAGTCCTCTGTCGTAGCGTGACAGCTGTATGGCCTTGTCTTTATTCATTTGGCACTAATTGAGCCCGTTCCGCTGGGTCAGACCTTGCTCGCAGTTGTGTAGCCCCATCCCATGGTACTTCGTTGTTTCCTGCATGAGTGTTTTATTATTCGAGTGACCATGAAAAAAGTATCTCGACATTTGAAAAAGGATGGGGGAATAATTTATTCCTTCCATGCTTTTATTTCACACTAATATTGTCCGTTTGGATGTAATTATTAATTCAAGGTGAGAGACAAATGCTGTATTCAATGCAGTGTGTTGTCTTTTTCACAAAATGGATCCTGTAATCATTGCTGCAAAACCCTCATGCTAGCAAATAATAGGAGTTTAAGTGCTGTGGGCATTGAGATATAATACAGTAATAACAACCATGGAGCGTGTTCCTTGCATCAGCACACAAATATTACTTTGGGTCCCTCTAGAGTAGTAAGAGTGAAGAAGGTCTGATTGTTTTTTATTAGTTTCATATTCATTGAAATGCAGAAGGTTGATGGACTTCACATGATTCACTTCTAGATATGTGAGATTGCAAAAATGACACCATTCAAATAGACAAATGCTTTTCAGGCTTCATTTTTTTTTATCAGGTTAATTTCAGAATGGTTGAAATGATTGCCCCGTAATAATTACAGCCTTCCTCAGATACCTCACATTGAATGAGGGCACATTCTTACTCCTGCCAGTAGATGGCGGTGAGACACCTCTGCCCTAGTTATCTGAAAATCAGTATGCCACAGAAAAATAAAAAACAAAAACAACTTTCACTGCTTGCCAGCGCAAGACTGTTACTGGTTTGCTGGACAGCTAAACAGATTATGGCACTAGACTCTCAATCGCGTGAAAAACGAATGCAGTTGAAACACAATATTGAACTCTGCATAGACAAAATTCAAGACAAGCTGTTCATTCTAAGCCAAGACATATGGAGGTGTCCAGAGCTTGCATATGGGGAGAAACAGTCACACGACAGGCTCGTTCGTTTTTTCTCTGATGATAATTTATGGGACGTTGAAAGTCACTACAAACTGCCTACCGCAGTTCGGGCGACATGGGGTCCATTTGGTGGCAAAGACGGCGACAAAGCTTTGAATGTGGGCTTCCTATGTGAGTACGACGCGTTGCCAGGTATTGGCCATGCATGTGGACACAACCTTATAGCAGAAGTCGGTGTGGCTGCTGCACTTGGGCTGACAGGTGCATTAGAATTAGTAAGAGAACCAACTGACTGTCAGACTCCTCTCCGTGTAAAGGTAAATGTTGCCTGCAGCGAGTGCATATATTGTGGCTTTAAAGGTGTGTCCATTTGTCCAGTTACTCAATTATTGTGCATGGACAAAATGTCACCATTTGCCTTTTGAATAAATTATTGATTGACTAAATTGCCTCAGTAAACACAGCCATTTATCATTGCCATAGGTGACAGTTCTTGGGACCCCAGCAGAAGAGGATGGAGGAGGGAAGGTCGACCTCATCCTGGCTGGGGTGTTTGAAGACATGGATGTTGTCTTCATGGCTCACCCCGCTCAGCAGGATGTTGCCTTCCTACCCTGTGTATCCATTACTGAGTAAGATTCTGTTTCCGCCGTCTGTATCCAATTCCGGTTAACAACATTTTAACTAACCGTTATATGCTTCCATTTTGTTTCAATCTTGGTTAATCTATTCTCAGTGTGACAGTGAAGTACCATGGGAAGGCGTCTCATGCTGCAGCGTACCCCTGGGAGGGGGTCAATGCCCTGGATGCAGCAGTGCTGGCATACAACAGCCTGTCAGTTCTGAGACAGCAGCTAAAGCCAGACTGGAGACTCCATGGTAAATAATGAATGAGAGAGGCTCATGGACTCATTAACTCCTACTGTCATATACCTGCATGCAGGGGCGCAACTTTCACTGGAGATGGGGGACATGTCCCCCCCACATTCTGAAATTGCATTTTTCCTCCCCCCCAGTTTTATCATTAGAATGTGATACAAAACAAAGCAACGGTGTGCTTTAGGACCATTCGGATGCCTCCGAGTGGTCGGGTAGGCTGTTTGGAGTGTTTATCTAACTGGATAAAAAAAATATATATATATATAAATTATTATCTACCCCCCACTTCTAAAACAAAGTTGCACCCCTGCCTGCATGTGTGGGCATAACCATTGGAAGTAATGTTTTGATTTTATGTTCTTTAAAGTGATATTTTGCTATTCACCTGTTGCGCCTGTGCAATTATGTATCAGGTCTTTGTGTACACCATTGATGGCTTCATACAGTAACAGCTGTTGAACAAACCACCATACCTGGCTGATCCACAGTCTCTGTGTACACCTCTTCCTTATCAGACATAAAGGTTAAATTGGTTTTTTCTTTGTCTTCTTCTACAGGCATCATCAAACATGGTGGAGTGAAGCCTAACATCATCCCAGCCTACACCGAGCTGGAGTATTACTTGCGCACTCCACTGGTCAGGGACCTGTCTGACCTCAAAGCCAAGGCAGAGGCCTGCTTCAGGTCAGCTGCCATGGCAACTGGTTGCCAAGTAAGCATGCTCCAAATAGCAATTGTCCCTTGTTTACCATCAAGATCAAGGGAAAAAATGTTGGTGGGTTAATCGTGTACGTTTATTTTTCCATAGGTGGAGATAACTTATCCAAACCACACATATTCCAACATACTTCCCAACACCACCCTTGCACAGCTCTACGAAGATAATGGTAGAGCCTTGGGGATTGAGTTTGTGGAGGTGCAGAACAATTTCTCAGGTAGAAAAAAATGAAATAATAATAAGTGTAGAGATAATAGAGTAGTATTACTGGAGATGAGCACTTGCCTACATAGTCTGGTCTATGTCTTGGCAGGTTCCACTGACTTTGGCAACGTGTCATTTGTCGTCCCTGGGATACACCCTTTCTTTTACATTGGCACCGATGCACTGAACCATACTGAGGAGTATACCGCAGCTGCAGGTAGGATCCAGCAATAAACAGGGATGGGTACAGCTCAACTTGATTTCAACCTATTTTAAGCTCTACAAAATAAACTGTGAATACAGAAAATGGATACAAAATGGACCCTGATACATTTGTTTGACATCAATTTGTTCAAACAGACTGATTTTCTGACCATTAGGACATTATTCACATCAGTGAATGCCTCTTCCATTGAACGGTCCAGGTGCAGAAAAGGCCCAGTTTTACACACTCCGGACGGCCAAAGCCCTGGCCATGACAGCTGTGGACGTGCTGTGCTGCCCTGAGATGCTTCACAAGGTGAGGGAGGAGTTCTCTGAGGCCAAACTGAAGCAGGAGCAAGGACTGAAAGACGAGGACACTACTGGCTCCACACATTCATGAAAACAACATGGATGACCTCATTAACAGGAAGTATTGATTCAAGCTACCTCCAATCAGAGGCTGCTCTGCAATCAGTGCCAAGCTGCTCATGATTTTTGAAGAATGGTAATCATTGTTATCAATAAAGCAATTCTAATACACCATAAAGCAAAGTTTCTAATGAGACACTACAGCATTGCAATTACTGTAATATGTCAATTTACATTACTTTACTATGCAGTAGGCTAGTTCAAAACGTGTTCTTCCATTTCAGATGCAATGACTTTCTCTTTCTCAGAAAACATCACATTTATTAAACATGTTTAACAATGATCATAACATAGCTTTACAAAGGTGTGTTGAGTGATTATGCTCATTGATTATAAAAATAAGGGGTATTTGGAGACATGATCTCTCCTAGTAAGACAATAATATATCCATCCTGTAGCTATATAAGAGGTTACCTACTAGGTTATTTATTCAAACGCATTAAAGTGGAAAAATACTAAAACCTGAAACAACTAATACAGTGAATTTCACATAATAATATACAAGAGGAGACATTAACTTCAAAAGTATCAAAATAGTGAAAAAGAAAACAGTCTAAAGTGATTTGTACATTTGGCTTCAAATAACCTAAATGTAGTACTGTAGTAGTCACTAGTAGTGAATTGTTATGTGTTCCTTATTTATTAGTGTCACATGTAGTTGTGCTGTTGACGCGAAAATTATGACAAAGTGAAATGGTTGCTTATTACCAACAAACTAGTGTTTAAGATTATAAGCAACGATACATAACATCCAAATAGTGTGTTCATATTACAGAACTGCAAATATGAAAATAAAAATTTAAGATATCACCTGAAATTCAGGCTTTAGAGTTTTAACAGGGGCTAGCACTCTCCGGGGCACTATCTAGTCATAGTCATGCTAAGTCACTAATATATATATATATATATATATATATATATATATATATATAAATAATAATATAAATAATAATATGCCATTTAGCAGACGCTTTTATCCAAAGCGACTTACAGTCATGCGTGCATATTTTTTTTTTTGTGTATGGGTGGTCCCGGGGATCGAACCCACTACCTTGGCGTTACAAGCGCCGTGCTCTACCAGCTGAGCTACAGAGGACCACCCAATTAACGCACATATATATATACAAACACACGTCATCCCAAGGCCCTCTACCCAGTGGGCAAGCCTTCAGATCTGAAACATATCAATGTTGTTTTTCTGTTGCTTAGTTGTCCATTAGTCACAACCAATATGACACAATCCCAAAATGGTAGAATTTAGACTTAATCGTGACCATAATAAAAAACGTCTCAATGTCAAATATATGATCGTCTCAGAGATTAAGTAAGGGATAATCAACAAGGGGCTATACGTTCTATGGAAAATAATTCACAACGTGTAAACAACATTTGTATTTCAAAATTTGACGTTCCCAAAACATTGTTGCTATCAAAAATTGTTTTTACAACCCCGATGCAACAGTTATCAATATTAATTAGTCTGATGTTTGAGAAACCATACCGCAACTGAACATTCTCAGTGGATGTTTAGATAAAAATACTGCACCCAATTTTGTAACGCTTCCAAGCCAGAAGGATAGATACCTCAGTCTATCTTTGGTCCCTCTGAGTCATTGATAACATTGTACACGATCCTAAGCCCTTACCGTCTAGCTAAACACAGTATTTACAAATTTGACCCGGTGGCTCAGTGGAAATGACGATAAACCCTTATAACTGTTTTCTTGAATACACATGGAAAGAGTACATATTTAAATTGGTCCATTTAAGAGGCTGGGTCAAAAAGGCAATGTTCCTTGCATTTTATTAGCCATATCTCAGTCTCTCTCTCTCTTGAAAAACAGACAAAGACATGTTCTCTCCGTGGCCACTATCCCTGTTAATGGAGTCACAGTGGAGTCCTGGGTCATATTCATTAGGGCACACTCTAAAAATCGACAAGTTGAGGTAGTCCCACTCCCTCCATGTTTCAGTCAGTTTTCTGCCATTTGGTGCTTAATGAATATGACCATGTTGACCTCTAACTGCAGCATGTGAGTGTGATAGGGTAGAAGGGTCCATCCCCATTGGTGGCACAGGCCAGGCGTTAGGAGTAGATGGACCAGTAGATGATGTTGAACAGGGCGTAGGAACCAGGGAAGAGGACCCGTGAGTACTTGTCTATGGCGTGGGTGTCTATCCAAATGTTCACGTAGCCTGGCCTCTTTACCTGGGCCGTGAGCTGGGGATCCCCCAGAACTACCTGGGCTAACATCCTCTCCTGCCTGCCGCCGTTCTCTGGCATCCCATAGTTCCCTGCGGTGCCATAGTTCCCTGTGCTGTTGACGTCCATGGTGGTGTAGCCAGAGATCTGGGGGTCGCACGTCATGTCGTCCGGGTTGCCGATGCCACAGGTACAGGGCAACTGCAGGAATGCGGAAGTAAAAGGTGAATTAACGGACAAGACTTAAACTGCAAAACGGAAGTATTTGAAGTGGCTTTAAAGCCACTAATATGTCTAATATATGTAACTTTTTTTGCATAGGGCTTCTAAACAAGGTTGTTTGTGGCAAGAAAAGTTTTCAGGGACTCTGTGTTGAAATACTTCCTCCTGAGGCTACTTATGCAGTTTAAGCTCCATATGCCACAACATTTGGCATATGGAGAGATATGAGCAATGTTGTGCACCAGATGTTGTCCTAAAAATAAATTAATACAGAAAAGCAGAAAAACATTTCATGTTAATTAAATTAAACAAAACGTACCCTCTCTCTTAGTTTCCTCTCTTTCCGCTCCTGCACAGTCGAGAGGTAGTTGACCGCTGCATACTCTATGACTGAGAGGAAGACAAATACGAAACTGACCCACAGGTAGATGTCTACTGCTTTGATGTAGGACACTCTGGGCATGGAGGCGTTGACTCCAGTGATGATGGTGGACATGGTGAGCACCGTAGTGATACCTGGACAGAGTCAAAACAGAGGGTTCAGCAACCTAGATGATTTGACACCAATCTCCATTGAAATAGCTTTTTAGTCGGTCCCTTTACAGTTAATTTTAAGCCTCATTGGGGGCACCATCGAGACCAAACATCACAATCAAACACATGAGCATCAAGACTGTACTACATCTCAAATAAAAAACGTAAATATCCATTAAGCCTAGAGCTACAAACTTCCTGGTCCTTCTGGCAAGGGCTTTCCTACCCAAAGGGACCCTAGCGGGGACGGCCCTGCGGTCAATCCAGAAGGAGACCCAGGACAGCATGACCATGAGGGTGGCAGGGAAGTAGGTCTGGAGCAGGAAGAAGAAGACGTGGCGTCGTAGGGTGAAGTGGATGTACAGACGGTTGTACCAGCCTGGGAAGGAAAAAGAACACAGCTGATATTCTACGCAGATCCTTTCCATTTCCCCTGATACCATTCCCACAGTGCAGGGGTCTGAAACTCACGGCCCGCTGGCTAAATGCGGCCCGCAAGGCAATTTAATGTGGCCCATGGTTGTCTTAGTAAATATGTGACTTCAGGGTTACCTGTACTGCTATAAAAGGCCAGCTTTGTAGTGGTGTGGAACTTCTGGATGAGGAACTGGGATAAAGATATCCTCTCGTCCGTGTTCAGTGACTCGTTGCCTTTCTTCCAGTACAGCATGAGGTCATCGTCCGTGTACGCGTCTGATGAGAGAACGTTAAAAACCACAATGAATACCTCACATGATTATGATAAAACTGGATCAAATGTCATCAGAGATGTGTAGGTAAATGGTGAAGTTGATAGATGCACTCACAGCTCTCTATCTCCAGGGAGCAGGTCTGTGTGTCCAGAGGGAAGCGACTCAGGTCCATGTTGCACATGGCAGTTACTGTGACTCTGTGAGAACAAAAGTGACATCATAGCCTGACTTATGCCTGACCATTTTCTTATATATATATACAGTGGGGGAAAAAAGTATTTAGTCAGCCACCAATTGTGCAAGTTCTCCCACTTAAAAAGATGAGAGAGGCCTGTAATTTTCATCATAGGTACACGTCAACTATGACAGACAAAATGAGAAAAAAACATCCAGAAAATCACATTGTAGGATTTTTAATGAATTTATTTGCAAATTATGGTGGAAAATAAGTATTTGGTCAATAACAAAAGTTTCTCAATACTTTGTTATATACCCTTTGTTGGCAATGACACAGGTCAAACGTTTTCTGTAAGTCTTCACAAGGTTTTCACACACTGTTGCTGGTATTTTGGCCCATTCCTCCAGATCTCCTCTAGAGCAGTGATGTTTTGGGGCTGTCGCTGGGCAACACGGACATTCAACTCCCTCCAAAGATTTTCTGTGGGGTTGAGATCTGGAGACTGGCTAGGCCACTCCAGGACCTTGAAATGCTTCTTACGAAGCCACTCCTTCGTTGCCCCGGCGGTGTGTTTGGGATCATTGTCATGCTGAAAGACCCAGCCACGTTTCATCTTCAATGCCCTTGCTGATGGAAGGAGGTTTTCACTCAAAATCTCACGATACATGGCCCCATTCATTCTTAACTTTACACAGATCAGTCGTCCTGGTCCCTTTGCAGAAAAACAGCCCCAAAGCATGATGTTTCCACCCCCATGCTTCACAGTAGGTATGGTGTTCTTTGGATGCAACTCAGCATTCTTTGTCCTCCAAACACGACGAGTTGAGTTTTTACCAAAAAGTTATATTTTGGTTTCATCTGACCATATGACATTCTCCCAATCCTCTTCTGGATCATCCAAATGCACTCTAGCAATCTTCAGACGGGCCTGGACATGTACTGGCTTAAGCAGGGGGACACGTCTGGCACTGCAGGATTTGAGTCCCTGGCGGCGTAGTGTGTTACTGATGGTAGGCTTTGTTACTTTGGTCCCAGCTCTCTGCAGGTCATTCACTAGGTCCCCCCGTGTGGTTCTGGGATTTTTGCTTACCGTTCTTGTGATCATTTTGACCCCACGGGGTGAGATCTTGCGTGGAGCCCCAGATCGAGGGAGATTATCAGTGGTCTTGTATGTCTTCCATTTCCTAATAATTGCTCCCACAGTTGATTTCTTCAAACCAAGCTGCTTACCTATTGCAGATTCAGTCTTCCTAGCCTGGTGCAGGTCTACAATTTTGTTTCTGGTGTCCTTTGACAGCTCTTTGGTCTTGGCCATAGTGGAGTTTGGAGTGTGACTGTTTGAGGTTGTGGACAGGTGTCTTTTATACTGATAACAAGTTCAAACAGGTGCCATTAATACAGGTAACGAGTGGAGGACAGAGGAGCCTCTTAAAGAAGAAGTTACAGGTCTGTGAGAGCCAGAAATCTTGGTTGTTTGTAGGTGACCAAATACTTATTTTCCACCATAATTTGCAAATAAATTCATTAAAAATCCTACAATGTGATTTTCTGGATTTTTTTTTCTCAATTTGTCTGTCATAGTTAACGTGTACCTATGATGAAAATTACAGGCCTCTCTCATCTTTTTAAGTGGGAGAACTTGCACAATTGGTGGCTGACTAAATACGTATTTGATCCCCTGCTGATTTTGTACGTTTGCCCACAGACAAAGACATGATCAGTCTATAATTTGAATGCTAGATTTATTTGAACAGTGAGAGACAGAATAACAACAACAAAATCCAGAAAAACGCATGTCAAACATGTTATGAATTGATTTGCATTTTAATGAGGGAAATAAGTATTTGACCCCTCTGCAAAACATGACTTAGTACTTGGTGGCAAAACCCTTGTTGGCAATCACAGAGGTCAGACGTTTCTTGTAGTTGGCCACCAGGTTTGCACACATCTCAGGAGGGATTTTGTCCCACTCCTCTTTGCAGATCTTCTCCAAGTCATTAAGGTTTCAAGGCTGATGTTTGGCAACTCGAACCTTCAGCTCCCTCCACAGATTTTCTATGGGATTAAGGTCTGGAGACTGGCTAGGCCACTCCAGGACCTTAATGTGCTTCTTCTTGAGCCACTCCTTTGTTGCCTTGGCCGTGTGTTTTGGGTCATTGTCATGCTGGAATACCCATCCACAACCCATTTTCAATGCCCTGGCTGAGGGAAGGAGGTTCTCACCCAAGATTTGACGGTACATGGCCCCGTCCATCGTCCCTTTGATGCGGTGAAGTTGTCCTGTCCCCTTAGCAGAAAAACACCCCCAAAGCATAATGTTTCCACCTCCATGTTTGACGGTGGGGATGGTGATCTTGGGGTCATAGGCAGCATTCCTCCTCCTCCAAACACGGCCAGTTGAGTTGATGCCAAAGAGCTTGATTTTGGTCTCATCTGACCACAACACTTTCACCCAGTTCTCCTCTGAATCATTCAGATGTTTATTGGCAAACTTCAGACGGGCCTGTATATGTGCTTTCTTGAGCAGGGGGACCTTGCGGGTGCTGCAGGATTTCAGTCCTTCACGGCGTAGTGTGTTACCAATTGTTTTCTTGGTGACTATGGTCCCAGCTGCTTTGAGATCATTGACAAGATCCTCCCGTGTAGTTCTGGGCTGATTCCTCACCGTTCTCATGATCATTGCAACTCCACAAGGTGAGATCTTGCATGGAGCCCCAGGCAGAGGGAGATTGACAGTTATTTTGTGTTTCTTCCATTTGCGAATAATTGCACCAACTGTCGTCACCTTCTCACCAAGCTGCTTGGCGATGGTCTTGTAGCCCATTCCAGCCTTGTGTAGGTCTACAATCCTGTCCCTGACATCCTTGGAGAGCTCTTTGGTCTTGGCCATGGTGGAGAGTTTGGAATCTGATTGATTGATTGCTTCTGTGGACAGGTGTCTTTTATACCGGTAACAAGCTGAGATTAGGAGCACTCCCTTTAAGAGTGTGCTCCTAATCTCAGCTCGTTACCTGTATAAAAGACACCTGGGAGCCAGAAATCTTTCTGATTGAGAGGGGGTCAAATACTTATTTCCCTCATTAAAATGCAAATCAATTTATAACATTTTTGACATGCGTTTATCTGGATTTTTTGTTGTTGTTATTCTGTCTCTCACTGTTCAAATAAACCTACCATTAAAATTATATACTGATCATGTCTTTGTCAGTGTGCAAACGTACAAAATCAGCAGGGGATCAAATACTTCTTTCCCTCACTGTGTATATATATATATATATATATATATATATATATATATATATAAAAAAAAAACACTTTGAAAACAAGCTTTTCCAAATTCAACTCCATGTAGGTGATCTATGTCTAATTGCTAAGAGAGTACAGAATGTTCTATACCAGGATTATTCAACTCTTACCCTACGAGGTCCGGAGCCTGCTGGTTTTCTGTTCTACCTGATAATGAATTGTACACACCTGGTGTCCCAGGTCTAAATCAGTCCCTGATTAGAGGGAACAATACAACAATTATGTGGAACTGGCTCCAGAGTTGAGTATGAAGGTTTTATACTATCCCACTGGGCACAGACATCAGTTAAACGTCTAGTTTTGATTTACATTTGGTTGAGTTTTCAACTAACGTGAATTCACAAAAAAAAAGTCACCATATCATTGGGTGAAAAAAAGACAACAAAATGCCCCTACGTTGTTTACTTTTTGCAAATCCAATCAGTTTTCCACATTGATTCAACGTCATGACATTGATTTTTGGGGTTGAAGTTATGTGGAAACAGTGTTGAGTCAACCAGTTTTTGCTCAGTGGGATGTCACTGAAGGATTTATGTATAACATGGGTTACATGTTGAGTAAATCTGTCCAGTGAGGAACACTGGCAGGGGAAGGGCAAGTGTTTGGGATCCATTTCTGATTACAACAGTGTTGTTCATCTGTCTCATTAAATGGCTGTCACTAAACGGTCCTAACTTTGTCAGATAAATTATGTCACGCACCACCCAATCTATCTTACTGTATATCATTCAATGGACATAATTTATTCAATGGACAAAACATGTGTTAAGATAACTAATTCAAGTGCTCCAGGTTTTCCAATTCAACAACCCAGGAAGGTTGCTCACACATGATCTAACCTTTTCCCATATGGTAACATTACATGCTTACTAAGTAGCATGTTCAATAGCTTTGTTTTGCAGTCCAACAAATCGGCCTTCTTCATATACAGTGGAGAAAGAAAGTATTTAGTCAGCCACCAATTGTGCAAGTTCTCCCACTTAAAAAGATGAGAGAGGACTGTAATTTTCATCCTAGGTACACGTCAACTATGACAGACAAATTGAAAAAAAAAAATCCAGAAAATCACATTGTAGGATTTTTAATGAATTTATTTGCAAATTATGGTGGAAAATAAGTATTTGGTCACCTACAAACAAGCAAGATTTCTGGCTCTCACAGACCTGTAACTTCTTATTTAAGAGGCTCCTCTGTCCTCCACTCGTTACCTGTATTAATGGCACCTGTTTGAACTTGTTATCAGTATAAAAGACACCTGTGCACAACCTCAAACAGTCACACTCCAAACTCCACTATGGCCAAGACCAAAGAGCTGTCAAAGGACACCAGAAACACAATTGTAGACCTGCACCAGGCTGGGAAGACTGAATCTGCAATAGGTAAGCAGCTTGGTTTGAAGAAATCAACTGTGGGAGCAATTATTAGGAAATGGAAGACATACAAGACCACTGATAATCTCCCTCGATCTGGGGCTCCACGCAAGATCTCACCCCGTGGGGTCAAAATGATCACAAGAACGGTGAGCAAAAATCCCAGAACCACACGGGGGGACCTAGTGAATGACCTGCAGAGAGCTGGGACCAAAGTAACAAAGCCTACCATCAATAACACACTACGCCGCCAGGGACTCAAATCCTGCAGTGCAAGACGTGTCCCCCTGCTTAAGCCAGTACATGTCCAGGCCCGTCTGAAGATTGCTAGAGTGCATTTGGATGATCCAGAAGAGGATTGGGAGAATGTAAAATGGGCAGATGAAACCAAAATAGAACTTTTTGGTAAAAACTCAACTTGTCGTGTTTGGAGGACAAAGAATGCTGAGTTGCATCCAAAGAACACCATACCTACTGTGAAGCATAGGGGTGGAAACATCATGCTTTGGGGCTGTTTTTCTGCAAAGGGACCAGGACGACTGATCCGTGTAAAGGAAAGAATGAATGGGGCCATGTATCGTGAGATTTTGAGTGAAAACCTCCTTCCATCAGCAAGGGCATTGAAGATGAAACGTGGCTGGGTCTTTCAGCATGACAATGATCCCAAACACACCGCCCGGGCAACGAAGGAGTGGCTTCGTAAGAAGCATTTCAAGGTCCTGGAGTGGCCTAGCCAGTCTCCAGATCTCAACCCCATAGAAAATCTTTGGAGGGAGTTGAAAGTCTGTGTTACCCAGCGACAGCCCCAAAACATCACTGCTCTAGAGGAGATCTGCATGGAGGAATGGGCCAAAATACCAGCAACAGTGTGTGAAAACCTTGTGAAGACTTACAGAAAACGTTTGACTTGTGTCATTGCCAACAAAGGGTATATAACAAAGTATTGAGTAACTTTTGTTATTGACCATATACTTATTTTCCACCGTAATTTGCAAATAAATTCATTAAAAATCCTACAATGTGATTTTCTGCAAAAAAAAATCTCATTTTGTCTGTCATAGTTGACTTGTACCTATGATGAAAATTACAGGCCTCTTTCATCTTTTTAAGTGGGAGAACTTGCACAATTGGTGGCTGACTAAATACTTTTTTTCCCCACTGTACCTTGATAAATCAGTTTGAACATGAGTTCAGCACTAAATCCAATACCCTTGAGGGTAAGTCATCAAACCGGGGTCGTATTCAGCTAACATGAAAACATTCGGAAACGGGGTACTATCGGAACCTGTCCAATAAGAAATGCTTGTTTTCGTGTTCCGTTGCAAACCTTTTTCTATGGTGTGCCCTAATGGACACGGCCCAGTTCTCATAATTCTAAGACAGGGGAGCTGAGCAGCTACCTCAGACTGTAGAGTACGTTTCCGTCAGGGTGCACCCTCAGCATGACGTTGTCTGTGGTGGTATCATGGATGAAGGACCTCTTGGAGTGGACAAAGAACATGTCAGGAACCCAGATCTTCTTGGCCAGCCTGCTGTCGAAGGTCATGCTCTGGTTGTTGGTGCTGGGGAAAGACAGGCGCTCGTCCTTCCAGTAGTGCCTGAGGTACAGGGTCATGGTGAAGTCCTGAAACAACACAACGGGGGCTTGTTATGGTGGTGGTGGTGTCTTCTGCTGGAGGACAATCACACCTATCGATGAAGATGCTTTTTGGATGGAATGTAGGTACAGCATGTGTTGGAGGATTCTACATATGAGATATCTGATTTGAGTGAGCTTAATTTGTTGTCCTTATGTAATATTCATGAAAGGCTTCTCTGGTTGAAAACATTTTCTAGATAGTGGAATACTTGTGTTATAGTATGGGGAAAAGATGTAGCTTGGTCAAGCAGACTGACTGCTGTGCTCAGCTTCAAGTGAAACAGAATGTGAGCTATCGCGCTGGTTCAGGCTGGTTACAACAGGCTAGGAAAGATGACCCTTCACCGTGTAATAAAGAGACTGAAATCCCACTCACCATATCCACTTCAGAGATTGTGTCCAGACTTTCAACCTGAACATCTACCCCAACTGGAATAGGGGGTCCTGTAATTAAATACAATTATATTCATAGAAAGTTCAGTGAGAGAGTAGATTTTCAGATTGAATTTACTATCCTTGACCTCTGTTCAAAAAGCTATCAAAGAAATTGAATTAAAAGAGCACTACAGTTTTTCCTTCATTTCATTCATGCATTGCTATAATGGATACTCATTGATTCTACCACAGAGAACATCATGTGTCTGGTACACCACCCCGTACACGAAAATTCACTCCTACAGACAGTGAGTCACATGGCCTTGGCTGCTATTTAAAGCAGGCAGACAGGCATCGAGGCATTCAGTTACTGTTCGATTGAACGTTAGAATGGGCAAAACGAGTGACCTAAGCGACTTTGAGCGTGGTATGATCGTTGTGCCAGGCGCGCCGGTTCCAGTATATCAGAAACGGCCGGCCTCCTGGGCTTTTCAAGCATGCCTAGGGTTTACCGAGAATGGTGCGACAAACAAAACACATCCAGTCAGCGGCAGTCCTGTGGGCGAAAACAGCTCGTTGATGAGAGGTCGAAGGAGAATGGCAAGAATCGTGCAAGCTAACAGGCGGGCCACAAACAGGCCAATAATGGCACAGTACAACAGTGGTGTGCAGAACGGCATCTCGGAACGCACAACTCGTTGGTCCTTGTCACGGATGGGCTATTGCAGCAGACGACAACACCGGGTTCCACTCCTATCAGTTAAAAACAAGAAGAAGCAGCTCAAGTGGGCACACTGGACAATTGAGGAGTGGAAAAACATCGCCTGGTCCGACAAATCCCGGATCCTGTTGCGTCATGCTAATGGCAGAGTCAGGATTTGGAGTAAGCAGCATGAGTTAATGCCCCCTTCCTGCCTGGTGTCAACGATACAGGCTGGTGGTTTAATGGTGTGGGGAATGTTTTCCTGGCACATGTTAGGTCCCTTGATACCAACTGAGCAACGTTTCCATGCCCCGAAGAATTCAGGCTTTTCTGGAGGCAAAGGGGGGTCTGACCCGGTACTAGATGGGTATACCTAATAAACTGGCCACTGAGTGTATTGTGACTATGCTGTGTGTAGTATAAAGTAGTTTCATTCAAATACAGTGTAGGCCCTATTAATAGGCTGGATTTGCTTATGCCATGACGGGCTGGATACTATTTTTGACCTATTTTAGCCTTTACTCGCCATCATCCGCTGTAATACAGGAATACAATTAGGTCAGAATGGATCAAGTTGTTGCAACGTCAAACATCTGGATGCTATTGAGATCTCTTTTTTTCTTCTTCTTACAGACAGATTTGGAGAGCTGGCGTGGCATTAGTAGACATTTTAAAGGAGGCCAGAGGGATCATTCATAGTGTGATGTTTTTATCACTCAGATTACTCTTACAGTCTGTTATTGTTTATTTGTATGTATTCATAAAACACATACATTGAAATATTTGGCCCTTGTTCTGGTCACAAATATGACATTCATTTTCAGCAACCCACATGTTGCTTTTTCCATGGGCTTGTGTGGACACTCTGAAACACATTTTGGCATTTGGCCTAGATCATTATTATATCTCTGTTTGACCTAAGATGGCCGTCCTCAAGGTATTATGGATTCCAAACGTGTAAATACTGTAACACAAAAAGAACATGTTACCTTAACATGAGAACCCATAAAGCCTCTCACTAATACAATAGATCCCACATGCAGGGCCTTTAATCCCACAACAGCAAATCCCTGTACGTTGACCATAAAACCACAAACCCTCTGTCAACATCTCTGTTAAAAGAAAGTGTACTAGCATGCCAATGTACAGCTTGTCATGTTGCTGGTGTCATTAGGGCTTCTGGAGGGCTGAGCTGATAAGACCATTGGATAGATTGGACGACCCCGTTTAAAGGGAAAAAATAGTTAGTATTGGTGCTTTAAGCATCAACAAAAAAGCAACTACAACCATAACTAAAAGGAGCGAATAAACGTTGTACATTGTCATCAAAGTAATTTGTGCATCACTGTTGATGCACAGCACGTACATTGATGAAGGGTACTTTCAAATCTTATGTGGAGCATGTTTTTCACATACTAAACCTGATGATTTCACTAGGTAAAAATATACACATTATATGACTCCTGTAAAGTCTTACCTCCAAATGCTGGTCTCATGGTAAAGTCATGGTCATCTATTCTTAGGAGCTGCTCAGATTTTGTCATGGGAGATTTTGTCATGTCTGAACTTCGTTTTAGAATTGGTCTGTAGATAGGAAAATAGGTTATTTTATAGGGTTAGGCTATGTGATGATGTCTTTTTTCAATGGGAACAGACATGTTTTACACTGTAAAGTAGGGTATCAAATTACAATATCAGCTTTACTGTACAAAACACCTTTCATCTTATGCTATAAATTTGCAACCCATTTTTGCAGATCAGTGTTTTGTACAATGACATTGAACTCTAACCTTTCAGACTTGCTATGAGTTCCTCCATCCATTCTTGACGTTTGTCTCCTGGATCTGTTGATGGAAAAAATCACAAGATGTTTATTGTTTTTAGGAAAGGAATAGTGGCAATCACCTGGGCATAAAGGCGAGGTCAGTACAGGTGCATCAAAGCTGGGACCGAGACTGAAAAACAGCTTCTATCTCAAGACCATCTGACTGTTAAATAGCCATCACTAGCCGGCTACCACCCGGTTACTCAACCCTGCACCTTAGAGGCTGCTGCCCTATATACACAGACATGGAATCACTGGTTACTTTAATAATGGACCACTAGTCACTTTAATAATGTTTACATACTGCTTTACTAATTTCATATATACTGTATTCTATTCTACTGTATTTTAGTCAATGCCACTCTGACATTGCTCGTCCTAATATTTATATATTTCTTAATTCCATTCTTTTACTTTTGGATTTGTGTGTATTGTTGTGAATTGTTAGATACTACTGCACTGTTGGAGCTAGGAAAACAAGTATTTCGCTACACCCGCAATAACATCTGCTAAATAGATGTATGTGACCAATAAAATTTGATTTGATTTGAAAAGATCGCAAAATGATTGCAAACAACTTCTGGTCAAAATGTCAAAATGAATTCCTGTATAGGTGATAGATATAGAAGAAGTGACACAGGAGTATAGAAGTGTAGTAACCTTGTAATGACCTATAATCTTGCTGAGACCATTGCACGACAGTATTGTGAGGCTGAAATACAAAGCAAGTTTGGTGCAGTATAGCAACAACCAGTGGCGGTTTTACACGGAGGCCGGGGGAGGCCCGTGCCTCCCTGGAAATGTCCCTGGCCACCCCTGTGGCCCCCCCGTGCTGACCAAATAAAAAATTATGAATTTATAACTATTTTACACGCGAGCGCCAAAAGCGGAACTAATGCAACGCTCTACACGGCAACGTTCTACACGGGTAAATTAGAGTGGCGCACCCAAAAACTGTATCCTGCCATCTGCCTGCCTGCCACGTGTGGTGCTGCTTCGGTGAATGAGAGCTCAGCAACTACTATTTGCGAGAGGAGCTACGATTTGCAGGAGTCGAAGGTAAGAAAAACGATTTAATATCATAAGTGAATTGTTGTTCTTGCACATAGCCTACATGTTCCTTTTGTTCCTCACACATAAATCAAATCAAGTTTTTAAATGTCTGGTCTCGATTTGTTTAGAAATGTAATCATATCTAAGCAAACTCATCGAAGCAGAAGCAAATATCCAAATGTTAGTAGGCTATCCTTGCTAGGTCTACACAATGTTGTGATGTTAACCACGTAACTTCATCCGTCTTGGCTGTTGCATCGCGATAACAAATACATTTTTAGTAAAGTAATCAACAGGTTATCTGCCAGTGTTAAGTAGGGAGGGATGGTTAGGTAACAAAATGTAATGCATGCCCCTACGTTTTTTCTTCTTCTAATAGTTATCATGAAACGAGGAAGGGACATAAAGTCATTTTTTGCCCCAGCAAACAAAAAAGTGAGAGAAACAAATCGAGGTTTTGAGAAAGTTGAGGAAGAGGGAGAGCCAGCATGTGATGAAAGTGAGGGGTCTGACAAAGAGAGGGAAATTCCAGAGGGTGAGGAGGATGAAGAAGAGGGTGAGGAGGATGAAGAAGAGGGTGAGGAGAATGAAGAAGAGGGCGAGGAGAATGAAGAAGAGGGTGAGAAGCATGAAGAAGAAAGCATACAGGGACAGAGAGATGAACAGCCAGAGGGACAGCAAGTGGATCCATGTGGATCAAGTACTGCACCATCAGGTTTGTGATGAGGAAGGTTCTTACTATTTGCAAAGCAATGCAATTACAATGTAATGGTAGGCCTGCTGGGTGTCCTTAAAATGCTGCTTTCTGCTGTTAATTCTTTTTTGTGTCAATATGGCTCTGTTTTTTTTTTTAAGTAAATACTTTGCCTACATTTTGAAATACATGCAGATATACAGTAAATAAATGTTGTAGTTGTGCCCTATGTTTACTGTCCATCTTCTTCAGATATCAGCAAGTCTAAGTATGACGTACCAGTACAGCCGAACTTGAAGATATTCCCAACCACACTGATGGGGGACAGAAGACGAAGCTTCAGACCAAACTGGTACACTACTCATCCATGGCTTGAGTATTCTGTAATGACGGACTCTACATGTTGCTATGCATGTAGACATTTTAGCACACCAAATGCCCCAGACACCGTTTTTGTTTCAACACCTGGTTTTACAAACTGGAAAAAGGCAACTATGAGAAATGCAGGGTTTTCACTACATGCAAAGTCTGAACGACACAAGTGTGCAATGATCGCATGGAGGGATTATCAAAGAGCTGTTAGAACTGACGCAACACTAACAGATCTCCTTGACAGATCTCCTTGACTCGACTGTCCACAGTAGTGGGGCTTCCATAAATAGGAAATGGCACATTGTTGTACCCTTTGTTGTATCCTGGAGTTTTGTTCACATTGAATATGAACCCTGTATTTGTACCCTGTACTTTTTTTTTTTTTTTTTCATTTTTATGGCACTATCTCTCTTGCATCTGCACTCTTGTACAAAATACGTGTTATAATAAATGTCATATGATTTTAAAGTAAAATAAAGTTTATAATCTTTGAATATCATGTGTTGCCAGTTTTTTTATGTGTGCCCCCCTGATTAAACACTGGCCCCTCCTTGGCCCCCCTAGTAAAATGTGTCTAGAACCGCCACTGGCAACAACAACAACAAATAAATCAAAGAACCAAAAACTAGTGTAAGCTACAGTACAAAAGCTTAGCCTACAGTGAGCTAAAAAACGGATTGGGACAGTGACACATTGTGTTGTTTTGCCTCTGTACTCCAGCACTTTGGATTTGAAATGAGACACTGACTATGAGGGTAAAGTGCAGACTGTCAGTTTTAATTTGAGGGTATTGCCATCCATTTAGAAGTTACAGCACTTTTTGTACAGAGTCCCCCATTTTAGGGGACCAAAAGTATTGGGACAAATGTGTATTAAAGAAGTAAAAGGTTTAGTATTTGGGCCGATATTCATCGCACGCAATGATTACATCAAGCTTGTGACTCTACAAACTTCTTGGACGCATTTGCTGTTTTTTTTGGCTATGTTTCTGATTATTTTGTGCCCAATAGAAGTGAATGGTAAATAATGTATTGTGTGATTTTGGAGTCACTTTTATTGTAAATACGAATATAATATGTTTCTAAACACTTCTACATTAATGTGGATGCTACTATGATTACGGATAATCCTGAATTAATCGTGAATAATGAGTGAGAAAGTTAGACGCACAAATATCATACCCCCCCAGAAAATCCTAACCTCCCCTGTTATTGTAATGGTGAGAGATTAGCATGTCTTGGGGGTATGATATTTGTGCGTCTGTAATTTTCTCATTCAGGATTATCCGTAATCATGGTAGCATCTATATTAATGTAGACGTGTTTAGAAACATATTCTATTCTTATTTCAAATAAAACTGACTCCAAAATAACACAATACATTATTTACCATTAATTTCTATTGGACAAAAAATAAGCTGAAACACAACCAAAGCAAATGCATCCAACAAGGTTGATGTAGTCATTGCGTGCTAGGAATATGGGACCAAAAACTATACTTTTGACTACTTTAATACACATATACAGTTGAAGTCGAAAGTTTACATATACCTTAGTCAAATACATTTAAACTCCGTTTTTCACAATTCCTGACATTTAATCCTAGTAAAAATTCCCTGTTTTAGGTCAGTTAGGATCACCACTTTATTTTAAGAATGTGAAATGTCAGAATAATAGTAGAGAGAATGATTTATTTAAGCTTTTATTTATTTCATCACATTCCCAGTGGGTCAGAAGTTTACATACACTCAATTAGTATTTGGTAGCATTGCCTTTAAATTGTTTAACTTGGGTCAAACGTTTCGGGTAGCCTTCCACAAGCTTCCCACAATAAGTTGGGTGAATTTTGGCCTGTTCTTCCTGACAGAGCTGGTGTAACTGAGTCAGGTTTGTAGGCCTCACACACGCTTTTTCAGTTCTGCCCACAAATGTTCTATAGGATTGAGGTCAGGGCTTTGTGATGGCCACTCCAATACCTTGACTTTGTTGTCCTTAAGCCATTTTGCCACAACTTTGGAAGTATGCTTGGGGTCATTGTCTATTTGGAAGACCCATTTGCGACCAAGCTTTAACTTCCTGACTGATGTCTTGAGATGTTGCTTCAATATATTCACATAATTTCCCATCCTCATGAGGCCATCTATTTTATGAAGTGCACCAGTCCCTCCTGCAGCAAAGCACCCCCACAGCATGATGCTGCCACCCCCGTGCTTCACGGTTGGGATGGTGTTCTTCGGCTTGCAAGAGACCTCCTTTTTCCTCCAAACATAACGATGGTCATTATGGCCAAACAGTTCTATTTTTGTTTCATCAGACCAGAGGACATTTCTCCAAAAAGTCTGATCTTTGTCCCCATGTGCAGTTGCAAACCGTAGTCTGGTTTTGGAGCAGTGGCTTCTTCCTTGCTGAGCGGCCTTTCAGGATACTGTATGTCGATATATAGGACTCGTTTTACTGTGGATATAGATACTTTTATACCTGTTTCCTCCAGCATCTTCACAAGGTCCTTTGCAGTTGTTCTGGGATTGATTTGCACTTTTCGCACCAACGTACGTTCATCTCTAGGAGACAGAACGCGTCTCCTTCCTGAGCAGTATGACAGCTACGTGGTCCCAT